TGCCGACAGACGGCTGGAAGCTTGGCAATGGCGAGCCTTCAGGTAGGCGTGCAATGTCTTCAAACGATCAAGGGCGGAAGCTTGGCGGATTAAAAGACACTCCCAAAGCGTCAATGGGATTTCGGGGGAGTATTCTGCCAGGAGTGGGATTTGTGCAACGACGATCTTATCCATTGCTACCCAGAGCTCGAAAAGGGTGAGAAGCATGATGGACAGATTCTCCGGGTTTCCCTTATAAGCTGTAAGCGCTCTCGAGGAGTACGCAGTGGCGCACGCCTCGATCGAAATGCACGCAGAATCGGTACTCTGGAGTGGAACGCGTGTCACCCAGTCGTCGATCCCTGATCTAACGGCGGTCTCGAAATCTGCGAGTGCAAGAGACGGTTCTGCGGCATGAGCGCCTACCAGAAAACTAGCTTCGGCGTCAAGGAAATCATCGATTGTCCCACGCTTGTGATGGTTGGGATTAGATAAGGTTGTTTTGGTGGAGGAATGCTGGTTCTGTAAAGCTTGGCAGATGTACTCTCGGCTCGTGTTCAAGGAAAGATGGGTATCTCGCAATATTTGGAGAGTCTCCGGAGCCCAAAGAGGCGAGGCCCGTTGTGCGATCTGAACAGATCCCCATCTTTCCTTCAGGACACTCCTTACATCACCGGTGACCTTATTGACTATCTGCGACAACTCTGGGGATGAAGAGGATCCGAGCTTGAAAAGGCGGCGCGCGATCTTTGCTGACATAAAGTGTAGAATGTCGTTCGATAAGTCACGGTCGAGGGCGAGGGTCGTGACCCTCGCCATGAAGAACAACATGAACGATTTATACGTCGTTCGTCCGAGAGCACTGCGCTCCAGAGTCGTCTGTAAGGCAACGCGAATGACAAGCCAGAGTGGAGAACGCCTCCACGGCAATTTCGCGCTGTCCCACAGCACATCATCTCCGATGCGCTTGCGGATGCGAGGAACATCAGCGATGCTCCCGAGGCCACGCAATATACCGGTCAGGAGCTCTGTGATATACCGTGGATGTGTGGTGTCCCTCTCTTCGAGAACAGTGGATTTAGCCTTCTTCCTCGTCGCTGCTGCATCGAGGACATCTTCATCCATGTGGACGAGAAAATTTGCCAGCTCGGCAGGAAAGGTAGCATTGTCAATGTTCATATCTGGGACCGTGATAGCAGGTCCAGGATAGGAACATATCAGCTTTCCCTTTGCGCCCATCACTGCGGTGGGGTCAGGAGAGACCTCAAATGACTCGAATATAGTTTCGGATTCGAGTTTTCTCATGACAACCGCAGCGTTTTGCGCGCGAATCATATATACAAGTACATCTGAAAATTGATACTCAGTACAGAAAAAGAATGCAAATGAAACAACAGACTTTCAGTTTCCATAGTGTTGATTTGATGTTCGACCTCTTCTGCAGACATGACGCTGAATCTGATTGAATCTTTGAGATTGTTGAGCATTTTCACGATGTTCGTCCAAAGCCGCAGCTTATCGGACGGTAGCTGGTCGCTGAACGTGATAGCAGCATCGAATACTGCTTCAGATAAGGCCAGGTCGTTCTCAAGGGACTGGTCACTCCCTTGTGGCAACTTGAGGGGGAGAAATACGTGATTGATGATATATTCATAACTAGATTGATCTTCTGACTTGGATGGACAATTTTCTGTTGAATATTGAGCCATGTTACTGGTGAGATAAGAGAGAGAGGAGCTGGTGACTCACGGCGAAGCCACGAATCTAATATGGAACCCCTAAGCGCTCATCCTCACGCCTCACTCAGGCTAGCCTGAGTAGGCTTGAGTTGGATACGAGAAGTCTCTTCAATGCATCACAGAAGTTTCCCATCAGATCGATCTGAGGAATGCCATCGATACGAGTGTTGAGGCTGTACATATGCATGTATCAGAAATGTTTGCAGCTTCTTCCTCAAGGTCGAACACATGCATGCGCTGGCAGGTGACGGTGAATTCTGCTTACAAATTCTGGATGAGTCACAGTTCGGTTTTCTCCCGACAAGCTCTCGTTGCGTTCAGTTCTTGTTGCTTATCATCTGATATCTAGGTGCAAAATGAACGCTAAGTCAAATCTCGAAGACGTGCCACGGCTACATTCAAAACATGTAGTCCTAATTATAAATATTGTTCCGGTGCTCTATCCAATCTACGGTGTGTCAACAACAGCTTGATTACCTTCCCACTTTCAAACCTCGCCTCGACTACGCGCTTCCGCAAGACTCAACTCAATCGCAAATTTCAAATCCGCGTCCATTTCATCTAAATCTGGGGTAGCCCGGAGCTTTTCCTCAGACTGCCTATCATTATTTTCTGTGCTTGCAGAAGACGTGCGCAAGATAGGTGTTCCAACATTTGGGGATGAAGGCGGCGACCGTAAGGTTGTACTCCACGCCGAACGATTGTGTTCTAGGCTGCTGGTCGATGAGGAAATGCTAGAGCTGATCGAGGGAAAGTGTTCGAAAGAGGATGACGTGCTGCGAGCCATGTCCGGTAAAGACCTTGCACCCGTCGAAGAACCTGGCAGGGATGCAGGTATCCTGAGTGGGCTTATGGTAATGCCGGCTTCCATGGGTTCCGGGACGAAGACAGGAGACACCTGTACTTTCTCATTCGTCGTGGGACGTGCGGCACGTGGATAGGTGCGGGCATGGCGATCGTCAAGCAAACTTAAGAAAGACTGATTCGAAGCCGGTAATGCAGGACCATGGCTTGTTAAAGAACTTGAAGCGACTGGCAAGAACGTTTCGTCTTCAAAGTCACCCTCGAATACACCTTCATCGATGGTATGGGAAACTCGGCGATGCTGTTCTTCCTCGCGGGAGAGCATTAGTACATATTCTATTGCCTCTGACTCCGACAATCCAAGCATGTTCAGAGTGGAACGTTGCTCGCGTTCTCGCCCCATGGTACGTCGCGCATAAGCATTCTCCTGTTCCAGTTCACGTTTGGATTCTTTGATGACCCTGTGCAAATCGTATCGCTCTGCAACATTTTATCAGTCGAGAATCTACAAAGTATGGAACGTGCATACGTTGTCCTTTTGGAATCGGGTTCCTCGCACGAGCATGTTTGACTTTGTGCGGAGCTTCGCGGTGGTGTACTTGTCCCACCTTCCATGACATCACCCTATTGTCGGCGATAATGACCAAAAGTTCCTGTTCAATCACAATCCTGCTGACGCCTCCAAATTCGCGACCCGGTGCAGCACGCGGGACTGGGGACGAAAAGAGCCTAAGAGGCTCCAAGGTGAGCGCGTCCCATACGGTCGTTGTGCCGCGTGCAGAGCCTGTGGCAAGAACAACCGAGCTCCAAGCAAGCGCAGTCACGGCACCATCTTCGTGAGCCTCGAATCTGCGAGCAGGTACGACGGGAGAAGATGTTTGCGGAGTGTCCCAATCGTAAATGCCAACGGAACCTTGCAGATCACCAGTGATGATGAAACTGTAATCATCTGGCTGAGCTGCAAAGAAAGGTTCGACGATGGAGTTGTATCCGAACGAAGGATCACCAAATGCGGTAGTTTCGTATTTACCGGATGTAAGGTCAACTACGACACGATAGAAGAACGGGTGATCGGAGTACCCGATGAGTAGCGCTGCCGTCGTCTGTGAGTGACGACGAACACACAGCACAGTTGGCCGAGGTTTGGGTATGAATATATCCTGGGGAGATGACTGTGCCTTTGGAATGGGCGAGACGATGCGATGTCGTGCAAACAATGCCGGGCTGGAAAAGTCATCCGAATAGACTTGTCGGGACGATGTCCACAAAAGAATGTCTCCGCTATGCAAAGCACCCGCGATGATGCCGTCTGCAAGAGCAGAGGACACTTTAAGGAATGGGTCAACCACAAGCGATTGGAGCTGCTTGTCGCTAGACCACAAGCACACAACCGTCTTAGTATCCCACAACTTGACTTGCCCATCAGCACCTCCGGAAACGAACCGGCTAACAACAGGATCCAACGCAATTTCGTTCACGGCGCCGTCGTGGTGATCTTCAACTTTGCATCTAACCAGCTTCGAAGATGCACCCCGAGGATCCATGACTCTAGCAGCCGTAGTGACTGCCACTTCCCCGTTACGCTTGCCCCAGAAGGCCCTGGCAGTGCCGCCATCAGAAGTGAGACGGCAGGTAGAGACGTTGGGTGTAAATTCAACATTGGGATTTCCAATACCCAATCCTGTTCCGGCAGCGTCAAGGTACCCCTTGAGAACTTTGCCGCTGAGCGGAAGTGAACGAGCCACCACTCCGTATTGAATCGAACACGTGAGGAGACCAGACTCGGACATCAGATGGACGCCGTCGATGGTAGTATCTTGAGGAGAATGAGTAATCGTCCCATTCCGCGAACGTTCCCAGCGCCTGAGGATGAAAGATAAGAGCAGAAACTGAATACGACGCATCCACAAACCTCCTCAAGTTATGTCTCATGATGAACTCCTTTCGCCAAGTGCCTTCTGACTTCCTTAGTAAGAGAATCTTCTCATTCTCGAGATCATTCTCAGGGCCAATTCCAAGGAATTGGTTGATAAAGGCCCGATACCAGGTATTATCATCGTTTATGTGTTCATTGAGTCGTCGGTTTGTTCTAGAGAGTGCGAGGAGCGATGGGGGAGAGAGGAATGATGTGATGTGAGTAAGAGACTCGGCGGGAATGTCGAGAAGGCTGGTGCTTTGAACGATTCCATGTTGGGATTCTTGATAAGAGCTTATTAAAGTTGCTTTGGCTGTCAATTTGTCTTCTCGGGATGTGTCTATAGACCTTATGGGCATATAATAGCGAGGAGATTCGACTGTCTTTAGTGGCGGCCACAGAAGACTCCAAGTCCGTCTGCGATGTGGTAGGAGAAGGTCAACTATCAAAATGACTCAACTCAGTGATAAGAGGAAGGTCATGTGATTATGAAACACTATATTACATAACTGATCGTGTGAAATTACATATTGGATAATTTACACTCCGAAAAAATTACAATTTCACCATGCCAGCCACGCAATCAGAGACTACAGAAAATGTGAATTGAAATTCCACCACCGTCATGTAACTTAAAACATACCTTCGGATATGTCCTCACAATGGTTTTGCGAGTTTCGTCCATGAGCAAGATCCCTAACGCAAAGGTGAACGGGAGACCCCAGAACATCCCAGGGATAGGCCTCGTGTTAAACACCTGCTGGAAGCCAGCTCCGTAGAGGTTCACAATGCAGATCAACACCGTGCCAGACATGCCGAAAAGTACTAGCAGGTTGCGACGCGGGCCCCATAGAGGATTCGACTGCAGTATTGATACTCGGCGGTTGCGAACCGATAAAAGAGTCCCGTACTGTCCGATGGCCACCGTCACATAGCTGGCGAGTCTTAGAATCAGTGTTGCGAGGGGAAAGAAAAAAGAATGACGACGCACTAAATGCATTGACCAACATCGACGAACTGGGTTAGTTGATCGATGGTGTAACCTTGCCAGCCATCCTCCCATCGGCTGAAAGTCAAGATAACGTCATAGAAACCGAGGCCTTGCTGGCTCATGTACAAGAACCACATCGCCATCGCGCAGGGCCACAGCATCAGTCCATAGAACTAGGCAAGTATAAATGAACATGTTTGGGTCACCCAGGTCATGAAACGTACCAAATAGACATGGAAGAAAAGGCGCCAATCTGTAAGCCTATCAGTCCTGGCGTTGCGTGGCTTGCGCTGCATCAAGTCTACAACAGGAAGTGAGTACTAGAAAGTTCATCAGTGCGTAAGCACCCACCCCATTCCGGCTTCTCATACATCAGCGAGATGGACATAATAACATCGTTTGTGATGCAATAGCAGACTTGTTGATACGAGTTCATGGGAATCTGCATGCCTAGTAATACGTTCGCAAGGACCGCCATGAATTCTGAATAACTTCCAGCCTGCAACACCGTGAGTATCAAACCCGCTGAGATTATACTGCTTCCACAAATGCAACTCACAGGCATGAGGTACAACGTGACTTTCTTCAGGTTATCAAAAACTAGTCGACCCATCTCTATCGCGACGGGGATAGAAGCAAAGTCATTCTTCAACAAGATCAAGGCAGCTTGAGAGTGATGGTATGAGCGTCATCGAAAGAACCGTCAAGAAAATGCATACCAGCTTCCTTGGCCACATCACTGCCACTACCCATCGCAACACCAATGTCAGCAGCTTTTAGCGCTGGCGCATCGTTGACACCGTCTCCAGTGACTGCGACTGTATTGTCTCCACGAGCTTTTATTTCCTCTACAATTCGCATTTTCTGGTCGGGGGTAGTGCGCGCAAATACGATCTCTGTGTAGGTCCCAACGATAACATTCCAATCAGGCGTGGTGAGAGATGCGACGTCTTCCCCTGTGAGTACCAGGGAGCGGATATCATCGTCTTCGGATGGCTTGATAAGGTGATAATCTTTCGGCGAGACCTTCTCAGATGCAGCAGCTCGGACGTCCTGGATGGTGTCGACGACGTGCTGAGTAATGATACCAACCTAAAACGGGGTTAGTAGTGATCTTATAGGCGGCCGAAAATAAAGAAACTACCTGACGTGCAATAGCTAGAGCAGTAAGTTTAAAATCACCGGTGACCATAAAGACTCGAACTCCAGCTCGTCGAATGATGGAAATCGATGGCGATACATCCGGGCGAGGAGGATCGCAAATTCCAATGAGACCAACCAAGGTTAGATCGCACATCTCCGCGTACATCAGATCTTCCACGTCGTTCGGTGGAAGTCCATCCTTGATTTGTTCTATGGGTTTCCGACATCTATTACCTCGGCAGCGCTATCAGATGTCAGGTACTAAGTCAAAAGTGCTTACTCACAGCACGAGTACTCGTTGGCCCCGGCTTGACCAATCCTCTTGAAGTGTGGCGAACATCTGCCTTGCCCTGCTTGTTAACGTGACGACTGTCCCATCACCTTGTAGCGCACTGGTGCAGGAAGGGAATAGAACATCGGGAGCTCCTTGACGAACATCCATGTCGATTCTGCATTCTTCTCAGAAGTGTTGACCTTGGAGACCACGGAAAGCATCCATTTATTGCGAGAATTGAAAGGGATCTCAAACTTCTTCTGATACTCTTGCTGAAGAGTACTGGAATCCACGTCAAGCTCCGGTATTGAAAGGACCTCGGAGAAACGCAAAAGAGCAGTATCAGTCGGATCGCCCTTGATCGTGCGATCCTGCACAGGAAGGTGGTTAGTCGTTGCGTCAAATTTTGCGCCGTTGCAAAGCCTCGCGATCTGATGGAGCGCCTTGAACACAGAAAAAACGGCCGGGTTTGAGGCCTTCGCGACCCTCTCGTTGATTTCATCGACACCAAATACATCATCGAGGAAGGCAATATTCTCCACCATCTGCGGGTCCATCAGCAAGCTGGTAACAATAGTAGATGCATCAATTATCTTACCATCTTTCCCGCAGTCAGCGTGCCTGTCTTGTCAGAACATAACACAGACATGCACCCTAATGTCTCGATTGTCGCCAGATTCTTGACCAACACCTGACGTTTAGCCATCCGACGGGCGACAACGGTCAACGAGAGTGCCACGCAAATCGGGAGACCCTGCAAGATGTCAATTAAGAAAGGAATATAAGATGTCACTGCTAGCCACCTACTTGCGGAACGAAGGCAGTCAAGCAGCCGATTGAATTTACGATAGCAGAAGACGTGGTGTCATACCCAGGATACATCGTCCGTAACCAAACGCCATATAGAAGAAGCGACAAGCAGAAGAAAAAGAGCGCGAGACATGAAATGATTTTGGTGAAAAACCACACCTCTCTTTGGATAGTGGTAAGCTTGAACTTTGTTTCTCCAGACATCTTGACAAGGCGTCCCATGACAGTCCTATCTCCGGTGGCGAACACGACTCCATGGCAAGTCCCTTGTACGACAAAAGTGGAAGTCAGCGCGAGGTTACGAGTCTCTAGAGCATTGTCGGATGTTGCATCAAGAGCTCCTGGTATCATTTCGCTGCAATTAAACTTTAGCCAAACTCAAGCACGTAGGACAAGGAACAGACCTTTCACCCGTCAGGAGAGAGCGATCAAAGCGAAGATCGGATGATGCCTGCACGACACGCATGTCGGCCGGGACACGGTCACCAGCGCTGAGCACGGCAACATCACCAACGACAATGTCAGCAGCTGAGATGATTTGCTGGTTTCCGTCCCTAATGACCGCAGCTTCGTGTGCAATTAGGGATTTGATTGACTTCATGATTCTGTTCGCGTTCCAGTCGACTAAAGCATAAAATGCAGCAGAAATGATGATGACAAGGATCTGTAGTTGATGAGAAGGGTGAAAATGAGTATGAGAGTCGATAGTCACGAACCAACAGTACTGCAACACCGAGAACGAAAGGTAGAGGAGGCCCGAGTGGTTTATAGGACAGCTGAACTGTGTATTAGAAAGTCACAATGGCAGGTGAACAACGGCACTCACGATAGTCAAGATGAACGCGATCCACATGAGAAAATTGAAGCCACCAAAAACGTAATTAAGCGTTTTCTTCCAGTAGACGGTGGGTGGAGGACTGATGACATTCTTGCCATCACGCTCCCTGCGACGAACAGCGGCAAGCTCCAAACCGACTGTGGGATGACTGGAATACCGGGTGTATACTTCGTCAACACTGAGTAGATGAGCATCTATGCTTGCAATTGCGTCCGCTGGGTCTAGCGGGGATTTGGAAGTGGCCTTAGTATTCTCTTCGACGCGAACCGATAATGTACGATATCTGTTCACTGTTAGGTCAGCGATATACTGCGCGGAGTAGAGATGCGAATCACGAACGCGACTTGAATGCCATAACCTTTCCCAGACCCGGACTCAGCTGGCTCAGCAGAGGGTGTCGTGTCTACCATCGAACAAACCCAGGCTGCTTCAAGATCCGAGTCTTTGCCCGCTCTCCTATTTATCCGGCTCAAGGCAATGCATCGAGTGCCATCGACTGTGCCTTGCCAAACCCAAGATTTACCCAGAGGTATTTTTGCGATTCATGCGGCGGACAGATGCGGGTATTGTTAGTGATCAGTGATCTAACGTTGAAGGATCAAAGTGAAGCAGACCCAAGTTATTTTCAGGTCAGGTTTTTTTTCACCGCATGAACGTGGTTGATGGATTGCATGATCCTTGTACTTGGTGGCACGTGGAGCACCATATCTAGAGTTGAAACTGATGCTCGCAATCCTTATTTGGTATAGTCTCCGACGAGCCGTATTTATAACTAGGTCGTAACTGAGAACAGAGTACTTACAACAAGCGAGGAGGTCTAGGGCGGTCGAAGCAAGGAAGTCCGACAATAGTACTAGCGTCAAACCATACACAAGACATTAATTAATACAGAGGGCATCCAAGGTTCGGATAGTGGTAGCAGCCCATACTGTCATCGTCAAGGGACTATCCATAAATACTGATCCGGGTATCAGAGAGAATCATGGAAGTCCGACTAGGTGCTTGCCGGAAGAAGCCATTGATGACGACCTTGTCCTGTATTAGTAATTGATTTGGTAGTAAGTACCCCTCCCCACGGCGAGAACTCACTGTTTCGCATCAAATCAGAACATCAACACTAGTCGAACAGACCTGCATCGAATATTCGTACTATACCTATTCTTCTCATCTCATACACTTCTTCGAGGGACAGCTCGTAGATCGCCGCTGCCAGGCACCAGCATGCGCAAGCTGCCGCCCGGTTCTTGAACGTTGGACGCTCGGAAGGAACCGGTACGTCCAGCTGAGTTTATCCTGTTTCCATTCTCTATAATCACCTTCAGTTCCCGCTGCGCAAAGTAAGCACTTTGACTCAACATGAAGAATTCAAATTCACAGCTTTACGTTGTTTTCAGTCCCCGTGCAAGTACTGGGCGCTTAGCGCTTATCATGATTTGTTCCTACTGGTACTACCGTGAGCTTGCCTGCTTGCCATCACTATCGCAGATCGCGTCCGCATCTATCTCTAGATCTGTTATGCCGTTGTCCCGAACTATGCGGTCTTTGTCACAATCGTGGGCTGTCTGCCTTGTGTCCCCACTGCGAACTGCCAGTGCATGCTCGTCCTTCACCATCGCGAGCTGCACTCGTGGTACCCCATCACATTGTGGCTGCGGGCTCATTTTCCACTATACTGTAAGAACGGAGTGTTTAATTCCGCGGAATCAGCCTGTGTTGACACCATGTGCGCGCTCTTGGCAATCAAGCGCCTTTGATGCTGTGTATGTACATCTAACGTGCTCTGAAACAATTTCGCACACTTTAGCTACGGTCTCAGGGTGATCAATTGATCGAGCGCCCGGACAATTTTCTCTTGAGAATTTTTAAACATCAATATTGTTGTAGCATTATGATCTTATCACAGTACTGTTGGTACGTCGAGAAGAAGTGATTCTGGAAAATGGACACAGGTCTGTTCAGAGGGCGGAACCATATCACGACATTCGGACATTATTTTCGACCACGAATGAAGAAAGAAACGGTAAATGTAATCTACTCTTTGTTGCTGATGTAAAGAAATCTGAGAGGATGATAAACGACAGATTGCTTGTAAAAGATAGTAGGAGCAAGACGACCCATGCAATGGGAATTAGATAAGAGCTAAGGGTTCCTAGTCCAAACCAAAAATACCAGAAAGAAAAGAGCATGAGTATGGTGCCGAATATGATTCGATAAGAAAGCGGCCTAGGTCAAAGCCGAGTAGTACTGAGCCCGTGGCAATCCTCCATTCATCGAAGATATCGATGCTGGTCTGGTCTAGCAATTTGGAAAGATCCCCTGGGTACCTAGTGAGACCAGCATTTAATATGTGGGAGTCTTGAGTTACATCGACGAGGGGCTCACCAGGATAATACCAAAACGTTATAGCCAAAATCATGTAGGCGCCTAGAGAGCGCCTTGAGTGCGAAACGCACCCAAAAATGCTACAGAAACTTACACATGAGAATCATTCCTTCCAACCAATTTGACTTGCCGTCCTGCACGACGTAATTGACAGTAAGAACTATTTTCCCCTTCCAATTAGCACGTTCTCCCGCATCAATCTATCCACGCACCAGAGAGAAACATGACAATGGATTCCAGCGGGTCAAAGAGAAGTGTCAATGGCTTGTTCATAATCCAACCAAGCGTCACGATGAATCTGAAACCATCTGAGTGAATACTATGTAAAAACGGACAAAGGCGCAACGCACGGAATCACAAAGAGCGCAATTTGCTGAAAACGGTGAGTCACCATAGAAGCCATGTCTGTAGGGGCGAACTCACAATACTCGAACCCACAGCAACACCCAAGCTCAAAGTCAGTTTATCCTTGACGGATACCGTAACTTCAATGACGTGATCCGCTGCGTGACCCACGATCGGAAGCAAAATAATACCAACGAACTCCTTGTTGATCGACCCAGATGAAGTCAAGCCATCAATCGAGTCAACGAGAAACACTGCAGTAACAGCAGTCAACTAAAGCCAAAAAAAAAATTGAGAACTTTGCATGACTATTACGACAAGCACGTACCACAGTTACAACAGCCAAAAGCCAGAAGCACACAGCGAGGTTCATCAATGGTTGAATCTCAGTCTCCACTGATGCTACGGAATAAGTCCCAGGTTCCACGTCAGGGTTGGGATCTGTGGGGTGGGACGACGTTGCGGCTGCCTCTCTGTCATGTGTCGAACTCGGGGAAGGCACGTTTTCGCCGTCCGTGACCCTACGTCTCCTGTGCAATCGAAATGGATTCTGGCCTGCGTACCCCTTGGTTGGTTGCATATCTTCGTTGACATCATCGTAGAGGGCTTTGTGCGAACATAACTGGAAAATCAGATATGAGGCGTAGACTGGATGATTGGAATGGGTTTAGTCCACTGCTAAGAAAAACATTTTGTTGACCTACTGAAAAGGAGAATGATTGCGACCTACACGAAGAACGTAAGACCAAACATACTACGAACAATAATCTACGCACGCCATGACTAGTCTTCAATATGTTGTAATCGGTCGACAATTCGTCATATTCTGGTTGACCCTGAAGAGCCATGTGAAAAGCCCCAGGTAATAGAACAGCAATCACGCTAATGGTCAGCAATGACGAATTAAGTTGCACAGCACCTAAGCCATGGACGCGAGCATTAACAGTCTGTACCAACTTGGAACAAGCAACTGCGTACTTTGACCAAATCCCTGTTCCGAGAAGCGGAGACCACCGGCAAAGAAACACATGCCCAGTACCAGCACTACAGTACACATTAATTGACTTCGTCACAGTAAGCCTAAACACTGACAGAGATTGCTCAGGATAGAGCCCACCACTATAGGAAAATAACACGTGTCAGATAAAGGGGAGCTAAAAATAGAGCAAAGCTGGGACACATACAGGACGACTGAACGATTGTAAGCTGACACTTCGCGAGCGCGATGATCTTAAATGGGTCAATCGGTCATCGCACAAGCTGCTGCAGGCGAGTACGACGTACTGATACGATGAGTTCGACGCTGTGCGTGAAAGGAAGCAAGGTAAGGAAGTGATCAACTCAGCAAGATATTACTGACGCATTTCCCTATAAGCCATCAAATTTCAGCGAGATAACAGACTGAGATATGAACCACTGACTAATGTAGCGTTGAGAAATCCAGCTAGAGTTTGACCGACTCGTAATGACAATTCGTCAGTCGCGAAGGCGAGAAGCTACGAGCACATCAATCCTGAACAATAACGGAAAATGAATCCATGTTACCTTCGTTAGCGGTATGATAGCCAGAAATGTAACTGGAGCGATGTGTAAGGTAGGTTGCAGTGAAAGTCAAAGCGTGTACTTACAAACAAATGTAGGAGTGTGCTGATCGGGAAGAGCAAAGTTCGTAGCCCACTTTCAGACATCATGCGTTAGATGGTCCAAGCTAAGACAGAAAGAAACATACAGATATCGGGATAAAGACCAACAAGGCATTCAGCCCTAGAGGACAATATCAACACAGTGCATTGGTTGCAAGTAAGTCATCTCACATGAAGCAAAAACGATCGCTTGAATGCTTCTCCACACGGTAGGCGGTTTGGCTATCCGTTTTTCTGGCTGCATCATTAAAGTTGCAGCTCTTCTCAACTCGGCCAGCCAATTGAGTGACTCCATCTCTTGGGGTTTGCTGCCTGAAACACTCATGCGTGGTCGATTGGCGGATGCGGATGATCTTGAAAGTAAGGCAGAATGATGTGAGGACATCTCCCTTGTTCGCGTGACTTTCGCGCATTTTGCTAAATGCCATGTGTAGTGCGCCACTGCTTCGAGTGTGAACAGCCAGGGCGTGTTAGAACCACGTGCAAAATTCAAACTTGGCAGTCAAGCTCGAGGCCTGAGGTGTCCAGCATCGTTTCTGCACGGAGATGCCAAATTCCCCATTCGGCTGGGAAACGGAAGGGTCCCTTGGTGATTCCTAGTGTTCCTCTTGCCCTCGCTAACAGGCTCTTATCCTAGGAGACGGGTGCCTGCAGTAGTAAGAACGTTGGTCGGCTCAAGCCAGTCACTACTACTAGGCGACAGGCGAATCCCAGATATAGGACTATACCTTACGTAAGCCTGTAAGCTGTCGATGATATTTCCAATTTCCCTCACCTTCAAGTTAGTCCTTGCAACAAATTGCTGATCATGATCAGCCCGTTTTCTCCTTATTCGTCAAACATTAGTTATTGAAACTCATACCGCATTGTCATCTGTAGGTTAATTGTGTCCACCCCTCCTCCCCTCCAAGGGGCTCTCTCTTCAACTCATTGCACTATGTAGTTTGTTATGTGTCGCTTTATTCCCATCATCGTTCTGGGAGACATTGCTGAACTAAACATGGCACTCCTTACTGTAGTCAACCTTCTTCCCAAATTGCATGCAGCCCAGGGTCTTTCCAGCTGCAAAGATGGGCTCAGCCGATGTGTCCACAGTAGCCCTAAAAATTTCGAGTAACAGGTAAACTTATAGTTATATTACCATCACTCTTTATATACATACAAATACTGTACAAGCATCTATACCTTGTCTAAAAGTGACTCGTAGGTCCGGGAACATCGAACTGTGTCAACTCTCCACCTCAGTTCGACTCGCAACAGACTATTATACTAGTCATTACACTAGTTATCACACCCGAATCACTGGCCGGTCACTACATATCGCACATCACCACGCCACGTAGATAAAACTAACTTGCAAAACTGTGAAATAAGCGGCAACCAGCTCTAAAATATTTACAGACCAAGCAACACCAAAGGTTTACCAGGCCATTTTAGCAACGATCGACTTGAACATTCCATCAGTATCAAGAAACGAAAAAGGTCAGCACGCTTACCTTCGGATAAGTCCTCACGATCAACTTGCGAGTTTCGTCCACACAGAGAATTCCCAAGGCAAAGGCGAACGGAGGGCCCCAGAACATCCCAGGTATAGGGGTAGTGTTGAAGACTTTGTGTAAGCCTGGTCCGTACAGATTGATTACCGCAATCAAGGCAGTCGCGACCATGCCAATCGGAACTGCATAATTCTTGCGAGGTCCCCATAGAGGGTTGGACTGGAGCAACGAAACCCTCCGGTTTCGGATGGCAAGAAGGTTTCCGTATTGCATGAAGACCATCGTCACGTAGCTTATGAGGGTAATAAATATAAGCCTTGGGAGTAGTAAGTGTTATCACTCACTAAATGCACTGCCCGACGTAAACAAAATGATTGAGTTGATCCAATGTGTAGCCGTGATAGCCTTCGGCCCAGTTGTTATAGGCTAAGAAGACATCGTGGAATCCGAGGCCTTGCTGACGCATGTATACAAACCACATGCTCATCGCGCACGGCCAGGACATAAGCCCAAGGAACTAGTAATAGATAACTTGTGAACTCAAAGCATCACTTGGTGCGGAACAACTTACCAAGTAGATCTGGAAGAACAATTTCCAATCTGTAAGACGGTCGGTTCTAGCATTACGAGGTTTCCGCAGCATGAGATCTGTCGTGCAATGAGAAATGGGAAGAACTGCAAAGAACGAAAAGTTTACCTGCTTCAGCTTTCTCGTACATCAAAGAGATTGACATGACCACGTCGTTTGTGATGGAGAAACAAACTTGTAGATAGGAGCTCAAAGGAATCTGCATTCCAAAAACGACGTTCGAGACTACGGCCATGAACTCCGTGTAACTTCCGACCTTGAGTTGGGTAAGCAAGTGTCTTATTTTTGATGATGCATTGGCTTACAGGCATGAGGTAAAGCGACACTTTCTTGAGGTTATCGAATACCAGACGACCCATCTCGATGGCCACTGGGATAGACGCGAAGTCGTTGTTCAATAAGATCAATGCAGCTGAGGGGATTGAGGGTTAAGCGTCATCTTAGACAAGACGTCACGATCTTACCAGCTTCTTTCGCAACATCGCTACCGCTCCCCATCGCGACACCAATGTCAGCGGCCTTGAGAGCGGGTGCATCGTTGACACCGTCACCAGTGACAGCCACAGTATTGTCGCCGCGGGCCTTGATTTCCTCGACGATCTTCATCTTTTGATCAGGCGTAGTGCGGGCAAACGCAATTTCAGTGTATTGCCCGACGATTATGTTCCAGTCAATGGGAGTAAGAGTGCTGACGTCCTCGCCTGTGAGTACCAATGCACGGATAGGGTCTTCTTCTGAAGGTTTAATAGTACGTAGTGGTACATCGGCGAAGTGCTTCTCGGACGCTGCGGCCTTGACATCATCGATGGTATCTACGATGTGCTGTGTGATGATGCCGACCTATAACCACGTTAATCCCAAGTACCACGAGGCAGTCGCTCGATCCAACTCACCTGGCGGGCGATTGCAACAGCAGTGAGCTTGAAGTCTCCGGTCACCATGAAAACCCTGACACCAGCACGACGGATAACAGCCACACTTGCGGGCACGTCAGGACGGGGCGGATCGCGGATACCGACCAGTCCGACCAAAGTGAGATTGCATATTTCCGAGTACATCAGTTCCTCCATGTCATTTGGAGAAAGGTTCGGTTTCAAGGCGTCCAATGGCTTACGACACCTGAACGAGTATCAGTAAATTACCCCCACATAAACATACAAAAACGTACAAGGCAAGCACTCTCTGCCCTTCACTCGACCAATTGCTTTGGAGATCGCCCATGTGTTGCCTTGCCGCTTCGTCGAACGGGACAACCGTGCCATCGGATTTCATCACCGAGGTGCAGGATTTTACCAGCATGTCTGGAGCGCCTTTGACGAGCATCCATGCTGTTGAATTTCTTTCAGCAACATCCCCTTCGGTCGTTCTAGTCTCCTGAACGACGCTAAGCATCCATTTATTTTTCGAATTGAAAGGAATTTCGAAGAGCTTTCTCCAGGATGACAGCAGCGCTGACGTATCAATGTACAAAGCTGGGATAGACAGAGCCTCTGAAAAGCGAAGCAAGGCGGTGTCAGTGGGATCTCCTTTGACGGTTCGCTCCTGGATAGGCTTGTCAGCAGTCGTAGAGTCGAACTTTGCACCGTTACACAGCCGTGCAGTATGGTGCAAAGCGCTCAAGCCAGCGAAGAACCGAGGATCTGGTGCTTCGCCAATCTTCTCGTCAATTTCACTAATCAAAAGATGACGATCCAAAAAGGCAAGTGATTCGACCGCCTAGAAGACGTTAGTCAAGGAAACCGTATCACGTATATGCACGTAAAACGAACCATCTTGCCGGCAGTCAGAGTACCAGTTTTGTCTGAACACAAGACGGACATGCATCCAAGGGTTTCAATCGTTGCGAGATTCTTGACAAGAACGTGCCGTTTCGACATGCGACGGGCAATGATAGTTAACGAAAGGGCAACGCAAACGGGTAGACCCTTTGAGGAAAGGATATAATGTTAGGGAAGCTATTAAGAATAACAAGTTAGATCGTTTACCTGAGGCACAAATGCCGTAAGACAACCAATCGAGTTCATGATCGCGACGCTGATGCTTGCATCATATCCAGGATAGGTCGTCCTCAACCACACGCCGTAGAGCAATAAAGATAGACCAAACATCGTAAAAGCGATTGAGGAAATGACCTTGGTGAAAAACCAGACCTCTTTTTGGATTGTTGTAAGCTTGAATTTTGTCTCGCCAGACAATTTAACAAGGCGTCCCATGACGGTCCTGTCACCAGTGGCGAACACGATACCATTACAGGTACCCTGTGTGACGAAGGTCGAGGTCAGTGCAAGATTGCGTGTCTCCAGGGCGTTATCAGATGTAGCTTCGAGAGACCCCGGGATCATGTCACTGGTAAAGTATGAGGCAAGCTTTTAAATTATTAGAATGTGATCACCTTTCTCCAGTTAGTAGCGAACGGTCAAAGCGCAAGTCAGATGAAGCCGCGACGATCCTCAGGTCTGCAGGAACTCGATCACCAGTGCTGAGAACCACGATATCTCCGACGACGATGTCGGTTGCAAGAATAAGCTGTTGCTTGCCATCACGAATTACGGCAGCTTCGTGCGCAATCAGAGACTTGATGGATTTCATGATTCGGCTAGCATTCCAGTCCACCCAGGCAGTAGAACGTTGCTGAGATGATGATGACGAGCATCTGAGGGGGCTAAATGAAGTGAAACAAGAGATGTACGGAAACGCACGAGTAGAACTGCAACCCCGAGATTGACAGCGGCAGGGTCAGGCTCTCCCAGAGGCTTGTACGAGAGCTGAGCGAGAGTGTGAAGCACTGAGTAAAATAAAAGTAATGAACGCGTACTATTGTGACGATGAAAGCGATCCACATGAGGAAATTGAAGCCTCCGAAGATGTAGTTAAGGATCTTCTTCCAGTGTTGGGTTGGGGGCGGGCTGATGACATTCCTACCATCCTTGGACCTTCGTTGAACTGCTGCCTGCTCGAGGCCAACTGTAGGATGGCAAGAGTAGCGAGTGTAGACCTCATTTGTTGCAAGGAGATGGACGTCGATACTGGCTATAGCATCTGCCGGATCTGCGGACTGCTTAGCCTTTGAGGGGAGGTCCTTCTCTTCCACGCGAATGGAAAGGGTGCGATAGCTATATGGGGGGTGAACGAATGATGGCAAACACGTTCTAGGCTACTGCGCACCTGATCTGAATTCCATAGCCTGGGGCTCTCTCTTGTTCAGACGACTTTCGAGGAGAGTCTTTCATGGTATAGAAGTTACCTCCACGACTGAGACTGAGCAGGAGTAGATTTGACGCACTGGGTCTTTTTATCTGAGCGCTCTTGTGGATGTAAATTATTGATTTGAGTTTATTTTCAATTTTTTTTGCTGTGCACGCAGCATAAGTTGCGGGATTTATGCCATTCCCTATAGATATCGCTACTAATATTATCACATAGCTCTAACTTGGCACGTTCTTGATCCAATATACTTTCGTGTGCTTTGGCAATTGTCGTAATGGTTAATGATGGCCAAACTATTCGGGAAGTCACAAACTTCTGATCTGGAAGCACTGTTCCTGGACCTGTCTAGGCCCTAGGCGTTCTGCAGAATCACGGAGAGCCGGTAGCTTTTCTCGAGGACGGTTAGCACAACGCCGCTGGACCGAACGCTGAATCTCCCGCTAAGTAAGGATCCGTCATTCAAGGAAAATTTGAACGATAATAGCTCGGATCAGGAATATTTGGCATGGCAA